GAGAGAGAGAGAGACATAAACAAATCAAGAACACGAATAAAACAAAAACAACAACAATAACTACAACAAAAAACAAGAACAGAAAAAATAGCCACTCCAAGAGCGCAAAAGTCAAAAACTGAAAACAGAATAAAAACTTTAAAAACGCTTTGGGACAGTAATAACAAAACTACATAGGAAACGAAACTCAACAAAATATCAAACCCGATCATATTCAAATTCATCATACGGTAATGAAACAAAATAATTAATGGAGGCGAAATTTTCAAAAGTGACAGAATAATTTTATTTTACTTCATTAGAAAGTCAAGTCTCTTCGCAGGTCACGAGCTGCAACCAAGTGCTCTCATTCACCAACTCCTGTCTTCGACTTAAGGAGTTTCTGTCACACCGGTCAAAGTCGTTAAACATTTTCCCTTTGAGCCGAATATTATTATCGGTTAATGGCGTTGATCCGGGGCGATTCAGTTTCGCTTTTTCCATAACTTTAGTTGTTTTTTTTTTCATCTAGAATTCAATAGTTTCAATTAAGCGATTTACGTCAAAGGTTAGTCTGTAAAATATAGCATCAAGTATCAAGCTCGCGCAGTCACAAATTGGACTGAATTCACAGACAAAACCCTTTGCCACAATGCAAGCACGATAGCACGTTAAAAATGGAACAGTTAATTGTTCAACTTAAAGTTAATTGTATTTTACTTATCGTTACATTTAACATGTATGTTTTTTACACTCCTCAATTCGAACGACAAATTACATGTCAAGAGATTGTATTAGTATTAGGCAATAATTTGTATTTTTACTTATCATTCATATCTCAAAAGGAAAAATTAGATTTTAGACAATATTTTCCCCGTTTTACTTTTAATTGGGATTTGTATACATCAAGTTGCTCTTTTACTTATGGTTTGATACCAAATATTAGGCTTTTACATACCATTCCCTTATTCTTTACAATCTTTCACCTTCACGAGGTTGTTCTGTTTTTAAAAAGTTGTAAACAATCTAGTAGATGTTTTTGCTTAGTTTTCCGTCCGAGATGTCCGGTGTCTCCGACTTAGGGTCATCCTCGTGAGCCTCGACGGCCCAAGTCTCCACCTCCCCGGCCGCAAACCCACCAAAGACAATGGTGCCGATGACCATGAAGACCCCACACACGTAGAACACATTGCGCCATTCCAGCTGAGTTTTCTGAGAAAAAAATGATGTGTAAAATTGTATTGGTTTGATGCCCCTTGCAACACTAAATATATTTAACTGAATGTTCATTTCCAATAGTCCCGAGCCAAATAGGAAAATATGTGCAAAGAGCCTTTCCGAAGGGATAACTGCACAAAAAGTATAATTCAGCTTTGACTGGGCGTTAAACAGGGGGAGCTTCAAGTAGATTAAATACTGCTTTCCTCCCTTCAGACTTCCTTACCATGTTAAAACGAGGGAAAAAAACGAACAAAGTAATAAACCTTGTCTTACAGATGTGCAAAGTCCATGACTGTGATTTACCATGAATCCAGCAGTCAGTACAGCTCATGAACCAAGTCTGGTTTGGGTGACATAATGTGTAAAAGTGTTAAAATAATAGGCTGTTTGAAATGTGTGAAGTTAAATATGTTAAAGAGCGTATCATAATGTGTCGGTGGTGCCCTTCACTTTCGCAAACAAAAGACATGAGTTTGAATCCTCTTTGGGACATGAAAAAAAAATTGAATATCTTTGTCTTTCTTCTGAGACGTTGTATTCCTCTCAGACTGAGCTGGCCATAACAGGGAGGGTTGAAGCTCTTCTCCTAAATGATCTAAACAGTGTTCAAAGGGGCGTAACAAAACGTACCTATATTCTTAAAAATGATGATAGCAATACGTCAAACCACTTCCTAAATTATGTATTAATTAATAATTCTTCAACACATTTAACATCACGCCTTTCATTAAATGCCCTGGTTGATATAATCAAAAAGTATTTTAATCTTCTACCGGGACACTCTATTTCCTTCGTCCGTGGCAGACCACAACAGGCAGTGTCGCATGCAACGCACCTCCTATACGATCTAAACCATGTTCATGGGTGTGTAAAAAATCCTACATTAAAAAAGATGATGATATGAATACGTGGAAGGACCCGGCCGTAGACTCACGTTTGTTGTAAGCACTCCGATGACAGTTGGCGCCAGAAGGCTGGCTATTGCGCCAAAAAAGTTCGTGATTGCGTATAGAACTCCGGCGTATCTGAGCGGAAGAGCAGGACAGAAAATAGTGTTTGATTATGGCATATTATTCTTATATACTGTAAAGGTTTTGGGGATTTTTTTGCCACCAAAAATAGCATTGGGTGGTTAGAGGATGCTCTGGTATGGTTGGCACGTTCTTTTCTATCAAGCGGCTTTTGTCCCCACCTCTCCTCATTTTTTTCTAATGTATGCGACTCCTTTGTGTCACTTTTAGTCCTTGGAACATAAATTTGACCTGTTTTTGTTTCTAGCCCGTAAAGTTTCTTTTAAAACTAAATCAAAGGATTACTGTTGTAATACAAAAAAATAGAATTTTAGTTTAGTTTTAGTAGAGGTTTTACGGCGCTCGCAACTGCATTATGCCAAATGAGCGCCAGAAGATTAAAGGTGTTACAAGAGAGTAACAAACATAAAAGAGAAGACGGGGAGATGAGGATGATAGATGTTTGATAGGAAAGAAGGAGCAAATCACACCAGAACACCCGCCAACCATCCACTCCGAAAATTAGAATTTTAGATTATGAGCAGTTTACTTCATAAATCATACATTGAATAATAAAAAAGTCCATAATTAATGAGACTTGTATATTATGTATTGTATGTGTCTTTTATGTCATTTATGTGACTAAATTAAGTCACAAGTGCGGTAAAACATTATGCACTTACTCAAAATCACTGACCCAGTTTGGATCAATAAGGACTTTGGCTGCTTCAACTGTGTTCGTCCGGGCTAACCTTAACTCAGTGGAATCCTTCATAAAAAACAATAAAAAATAAATGTCAAAAGAAGCAAACACACTATACAAAATTGATAAAAAGGAATAAACCTTGTCTTACCGAGGTGCAAAGTCCATGTGATTTACCATGAATCCAGCATAGCACAGCCCTTCTAAGGCTATTGCAACACAAAGAAGGACCACGGCTATAGCACGTCTCTCACAGTCTGTGAAGCCCACGGCAACGATACAGGCGGCCGAACCCAGGAACGCTGTGGAGAAGAGGAAGGTCGTGGATAGAGGGAGGGAAGAGACGCGGAGAGGCAGAGCGAGGGAATCAGAGAGTCAAAAGGGTGGGGGAGGGGAAGGGAGAGAGAGTAGAGAAAGAGTGGTAGAAAGGAGAAAGGGAGAGAAAGAGAGAGAGAGAAAGAAAGAGAGAGAGAGAGAGAGGTAAAGAGAGAGAGAAAGAGAGAGAGAGAGAGAGAGAGAGAGAGAGAGAGAGAAAGAGAGAGAGAAATGCATAGAAAAAATAGAGAGAGAGTGAGAGAGACAGAGACAGACAGACAGACAGACAGACAGACAGACAGACAGACAGATAGATAGATAGATAGATAGAGAGAGAGAGAGAGAGAGAGAGAGAGAGAGAGAGAGAGAGAGAGAGAGAGAGAGACAGAGACAGAGACAGAGAAAGAGACAGACAGAAACAGAGAGAAACAGAGACAGAGAGAGGTGGAAGGACTGACTCTCGTAGTCTAGAGGATAAGATGTTCGCCTCTCATTCAATAGATCACAGGTTCGAATCCGGATAGCGACGGAACATTTTCTTCTCTAGAATGTTTCCCTTTACTTCCAAAGATCATAGAACTAAATACAAAACAACACGCTTAATTAAGTTTGCAGAGGGCTCCGCAATTATTGGATTAATAAACCTCGATGAAAAAGAGTATTTCGAAGAAATATATTTAAGTTTTTTGAATGGTGCAATTCAAATTTTTCTAAAAGTGAATCTCTCAAAAATAAAGAAAATGATTTTTTATTTGGGAAGAGAAAGACCAACAATCCCCCCACTCGTAATTGAACAAAAAACAATTGAAATCACGGATTCATACAAATATCTTGGTCTTAGAATCGACAACAAATTTATATGGCAAAACCACGTAAACAATATCGTTAAAAAGGTAAATCAGAGGCTGTACTTTCTGAGGAAACTTAGGTCTTTCAATCTGAATCTATCCATCCTTCAGACACTCTACACCACCACCATAGAAACTTTGCTAAATTTTGGTATCACTTGCTATGGTAGCAATTTGGGAAGGCAGCACATTATAAAAATAAACAAGTTGATAAGAAAGGCATCAAGAACAAGTGCTAGAGACCTAAGTAACTTTGAATATCTGCTCAAGAAAAACGTGCTAAAAAAGGCGGAAATAATGCTAAGTGACTATAGCCACCCACTGACATAGGAATTTCAACTATCGACCCACAGTAAACGATACGTACATTTCCAAAAAAACAACAAACAAGAACAGACATAATATATAGAAATTCATTCACACCAACTGCAGTGAGGTTACTGAACACACAGTGCCGCAAATGAAACAGAGAGAGAGAGAGAGAGAGAGAGAGAGAGAGAGAGAGAGAGAGAGAGAGAAAAAGAGAGAGCGAGAGAGATTTACGGAGCGGGTTGTCCCAGCACGTGAGACATTGATTTACTAGGCCTAATATTCTGTCCTGTGCGTTTGCGTGAGTGCACCTTTAGGTCTAATTTTTGTAACATCTACAGCAATTGTAAACGACCAAGACTAATTTCTCCGAGCGAGATGAATAAAGATTGTCATTGTCATTTTCTTTTGCCTCCTTTCCTGCTCTATGCTCTGTCGTCTGCTTTCGCCTCCACTTTTGCACCCACCTCCTCACCTCCTTTGCCTCCTTCTCTGGGCTTCTGATTCTTTCTGCAGCCTTTCTACTACTGCTCATTGGCTCCTTACAGCCTTCTTTCAGCCACACCCCTGATCTTATGGTATTTAGGATCTGCACCTAGTTTTCTCAAATAGGGATGAAAATCTCGGAGCTCTCGTGTGCATGTTGCGCACATTAAATATACCTTGGTTGTCCAATATCGATAAGAGTAAGCTTCGGCCAACACCCAGGCAAAATTCAAAATTTCCTACCAACGGAAAATGTTTAATGTGTCCCGCGTGCTTATATGACCTTATGCAGTTACGAATGTGTAAAACACTTTACAAGAGAGAGCGAGCGAGAGAGAGAGAGAGAGAGAGAGAGAGAGAGAGGGAGAGAGAGAGAGAGAGAGAGAGAGAGAGAGAGAGAGAGAGAGAGAGAGAGAAAGAACAAACGAAGTATGATGATCTCGTTTTCATAAAGTCAGTGCTCGTCATATAATGCTAGACTGCTGAGCGGATGGCCACTATTCAAAACCCCCAACGAGGTGTTCCGAACTTGGTTTGTTGTGACGTGTTTTTAATGCTCTTCTGTAGTGTTGTTGTTGTTGTTGTTGCTGCTGCTGTTGTTGTTGTTGTTGCTGCTGCTGTTGTTGTTGTTGTTGCTGCTGCTGTTGTTGTTGTTGTTGCTGCTGCTGTTGTTGTTGTTGTTGTTACGTACACACAGTCTGGAAGAGCCTGCGAGTGTGTGTTGTGCTCAGGTATCTCTGACGTAGGAAGTCTGCGGCGTGTCCAGCAAAAATCTGTGTGCAGATCGTGGCCAGGTAGGGAACTGAGGACAGGACGCCGTTCTGCCAAGGGGAGATATTATTATTAAGCAAAAAAGTAGAAGAAACATCAGGTAAAGAGTTATACTATAATAGCATGTCGTTATACTGGGCAGAGGGATGTTATCAAAGTGAGAGATAAAGGGGGGGGGGAGAAAAAGAGACAGAGAAAGAAAGAGAGAGAGAGAGAGAGAGAGAGAGAGAGAGAGAGAGAGAGAGAGAGAGAGAGAGAAATGGAGAGAGAGAGTGGGTGTGTGGGTGTGCACGTGTGGACGTGTGTGTGTATGTGTGTGTGTGTGTGTGTGTGTGTGTGTGTGTGTGTGTGTGTGTGGTGT